TGCCATAGGAACCTTTAGCAAACACCACTGAGCCGGAAGCAGGTGGATGCTCTTTCCTCTGGGCCAAAGGTTTGCCTCTTGTTCTCTGCATCTGCCTTTGGATGCCCTTCAAACCTATGTTTTTGTGAGGTGAGGAGTTGTTGGGAAAAGATAAATTAGGTTTGAGTAACTACTGAATGCATCCAATAAAAATGTTTCAAAGGTAGTTCATAGAAAAAGTAACCTGGCTCCACCCAATACGCAAGCATTAAGCCATTCTGGGGCAGTGCAGATTTGTAAATGTATAACAAATTGAAAGTAAATTTACTCATACCTGACCAGTAGTATTTTATTACTTTTAAAAATTGTGATAGAATTAACTAAGTTCATAGGCCAGGAGTAGGTGCTGCAGTGAGGGGGAAGAACTTTTCCCAACCTTCCCTTGTTGCATCTCTAGTGGTCAGGCATTATCTAAGTCATTTCTACCAAGTCTTCCTAGGACATTTACCAAGCCCATTATTGTTTTGGGGTCTTTCCTTAAGGTGCTTTTTCACATACTAACAGAATCTTGATGGCGCACATCTGTTAAAATTACTACCCCTTAAAGGCTTTTGTGAAATTCTTAACCAACTTAAGAAAGTGCGTTACTGAACAAAGCCTTGGTTAGGGCTCAGGTTGCTAGACAGACTGTTTGCAATTAAAGTAGTCCCATCTCTGTATCCTTTAAATGCAAAAAGGGCTTCGGATCTGCTGATCTGATCTATGTGACTGTCTTAGGTTCTCAAGAGTTTCTTTTTTTCTGGAATAAGAAAGGCTCTCTTTTTTGCTTCAGATCTGGTACTTGGTTAAGTTTAGTAAGGTTTCCTGGAAAAAGCCTCAAGGGCTTTTTCCTGACACACTCAAGCTATATGTAGAAGCAGAGATTGGGTCTGTGTGTTGGAGAATTTTGAAGTGCCAAATGTGGTAACCAAAAACTGGGAGTGAAGCAGATTTACTCTGGGGTTAGATGTGTCTGCCATCAACACTTTGTGTGCCTTAAAGGGGTTCTGTAGCTTATTCACCTTCCAGCCTTCTTATCTGTAAGATAGAATAGCCCTTCCTGCATTCATTACTTTTTGATCCCTGGAGCAAAAGCAGTTTAAGGAAGGAAGGGTTTGCTTTGGCTCACAGTTTAAAGGCATACAGGCCACCGCCATGGCAAGGAGGGAGCAGGAGGTGCTGGTTACATGTGTCCACAGTCAGGAACCCAAGCATGGCTACTTGTGCTTAGATCTCTTTCCTTTCTATCCAGTCCAGGGCACTAGCCCATGGAATGCTACTGCCCACATTAGAATTATTCTGTTCTAGAGAACCTCTCAGAAATATTCCCAGAGATTTGTTTCCATAGCGATTCTAAATTCTGTCAGATTAACAATCAAGATTAGCCATTGCCCCACTCCTGATGTAGAGCATGATGCATGCATGGTCAGTGTTCAGTAAGTGGAGTTAGTCTGCCTTCTGTGCCATGGGGAGTTCATGTGCAGGCTAACTCCCTTTGGTTGCCATTGGAGTTCTTTTCATGCATACTTTTCCTAAGCAGAGAACAGCCAATTGACAGTACCCACAACGTATGTCTTCATCTTTTTAATTGTCCTTTTAATAATTCCATAAACATCTAAGAAACTGAATTCAACAGTTTAAGTTTCTTCAGACTTTGCTCCAAAGAGGAACATTTTCTGGATGCCTAATCATCGTCATTATCTCAGAACATTTCCATTTTTATCTGTTTCTCTAAAATTGAGAAGCAAGAAATAGAATACTGTATTCCGAGTAAGCAATGGCATGTGTTTAGCTTTACTACAGACTTGTGTAGACAGCCCTGCACCAATGCCACTGAGAGCCTCCCACCCAATGTGGCTCCCCAGATTTCCCCTACTTGTGATTTTGAGGACTCATTCTGCTTCACATTTTAAAGGTGTCATTTCCCCCAAATAAACATGTGACCAGAACATCACAGCAAATCCCTGTAAGGCAGAGGAATGTCAGGCAGACTGTTGATATTTGTTGGCCTTACTCTTTTCGTCTTTCCTTTAGCTTGGAGCTATAGGCAGCCTGCCTCCTGGTTATGATCCTGAAAATTCCCATTTCCATGCATGTACCTTCCACACTCATCACAACTATGCTGTAGAGAAGGCAGCCCGGAGAGCTCCCAGTCCCTCAGAATCCAAGTCAAGAGCATTATCAGAGCACAGGGATGGTCCCAGGTGTCCCTTACCACTAGGCATGGAATACTCAGCTCAGAACCATTCTAGTATTTTCTTTTGGAGTGCTTGGTGATGTTTGAATATTAATATAACCCCTGTTGTTAATTTAATCCTCTTACTGCCTTGAATGATGATCTGTTTTTTGTTTGTTGTTGTTTTTGTTTTTTGAGATAAGGTTTCTCTGCAGCTTTGGTGCCTGTCCTGGAACTAGCTCTTGTAGACCAGGCTGGCCTCGAACTCACAGAGATCCACCTGCCTCTGCCTCCCGAGTGCTGGGATTAAAGGCCTGCGCCACCACAGCACGGCTAGTGATGATCTGTTTTAAGAGCAGTGTTATCTCTGGCCTACGGAGGAGATGCTTGAGTTGAGAGAACTCTATAGGGCAAGAACGATGACTGTGCGTCCCTCACCAACCTGGGTTCCTCCCATCTAAAAGATATTTTCTTCATTTTACTTGGGAGTTGCTGTTTCCTTGAGGGTCAGTGTCAAACCCCATTGTCCTAAATCAGGCTTTCAGACAGGCTGGCTCCCTACATTTTGTCATGTCAAAATAGTTCCCTTCTGTTGTCACACAGCAGCCAAGTCAGGTCTTCAATAGTAGAGACTCCCTGACTAAGATTCACAAAAGACTCTATCAGTTTCATTTGCATGAGAACGAATCTGTTAATTGTCAGAAATAGTTGCTCTGATTATTTTTTAGAGCTGAGGAGATAGCTGGAATTGCCTTTTTGGTTACCTTTTGTTCTATTCAACTAACTCTGCTGGATAAAAAGATTTTCAAACTCTGACTTTCAAATTTATACATACCAATTTAGTTTCATCTCTAAGAACTTGAACTTAACTTCAAGTTTCATTGTAATCCATGAAAACTGACTCAGAAGGTGCTTCTTCATCAAAACATTGCTTTCACTCCTCTCCCAGATTCAGTCTGAGGCCCTGCCGTCCCCACAGCATTTCCTCACCCTCTCACCCATCTTTCAGTGCTCCACTGCAGAAATCAGAAGGAGCCGCAATTTGCTCAACTCAGCTCCACAAGTAGCCTGCTATTTAGGGGTTAGTCCTGCCTTCTCCCCATCAGCCCCAAGTCCTTGACAGTATCTGAACAAGTAAGTCCCGGAATCTCTTCTGCACAGGGTGAATTTTCCATATGTTCAGCACAGTATTGTTATGGTTAGTTCATCAATATCAAATGATTGGCACTCACAAACCATTCTACCTTCTATCCTTTGAAAATATAATAGTGTTTTTATTTCATAGCATCAGTCTTTGTTTATTCCCATGATCCGGACAACATTCAGCCTGTTAAATATTTACCCACGAGGTGGGTGTTGGCATATGAGTCAGCAGCACTTATCAGAGTGTGACACTGGATCTTAGGTCATGTATCCTAACACGCTAAGAAAGTCCTGAGTTAAAGGAGTGGTGAAGCTAGCATCTTTTTTTGTTTTGTTTTTTCAAGACAGGGTTTCTCTGTGTAACAGCCCTGGCTGTCCTGGAACTTGCTCTGTAGATCAGGCTGGCTTTGAACTCACAGAGATCACCTCCCCCTGCCTCCTGAGTACTAGGATTAAAGGTGTGCGCCACCACTGCCTATCTCAAGCATTCTTTAAAAATGAGCCCAGTTAAAACTCTTTTTCATAACATCTAACAACTAAGTGGTTCAAAGGTAAATACCAAGAGTGGTCAGTTCATCACATCCCAAATCAGGCAAATCTGTTGTTGAGATGTGGGCGAGTGCTGAAGTATGAAGATAAAGAGGAATGCTGGCCCACCTACTCTGCGGATGAGTGCTCCTGGAGACAGCCACGCACCTCTATCTGCTTCAGTGATCATTGAGTGCCTCGGGAGCTTTCTCCTCATCAACATCCTGCCCTGAGGACTTCAGGCAGCCACACCAGCTGTTCTTCCCAACCCTGTAGCCCTTTATGATTAAATTCACCCTCCTCTCAGGAAGCAAAGTATGTCAGCAAAATATCAGAGGTGCTAGTGCAAGCATATAGACCTGCCTTCTAATCTTGGTTTGACCGCTGACTAGTTGTGCAAACCTCAGATAATTTCCTGCCTTGCTTTCCTCACCTATAAGGTTACAGTAATTCTCTCTTCAAGTTGTAGGGAAGGCTAAATTAGACAATGTGATGGAAGAGCGACAAGTATCAGTTCTTGATAACCAGAGAAACGGGCCTGGCAGCAAGAGTAGATTTCTTCATACCTCTTTCTTTACAGCACCATAAGCAGTTTTTGTTTGGGGCCTTTTTTTCCAGAATGACACAATTCAAGCACAGAATAGGAACGTGAGCGAGGTAGAGATAGATAAAGGAGGGGAGAGGAGAGAAACTTGGAGGATTGCCTGCAGACTATTTTCCTTTTATACAGTTTAACAAATGGTTAAGGAGCTGTCCTGTACATACAAGCCAAAAGCCCACTGCAGTCCATCAGTTCCAGGAAACTGTCCAAATTAGTTTACCTATTTTGGAAATTTTGTAATACTAATGATTATTTCTCTGAGTAAGCCGTGAGTTGCCTGGATCTTACTTTAGTTTTCTACATTATATGTATATTTAACCAGTAATCAACAGCCATAAACATTGAACTCTTGTTAGTGCAGCAGAATGAATTAAGATATAGGCATTTAATGATAATGTGAAGCTCATATTCCCAATCCCATTAACCCAAGTCAGCTGGCAGCCAGGCTGTGCTGCGACGCCAAGTCTACTTGGGGCATCATGCCCTACCTTGCCACGGCTCTAAGACAAGTCCCTTGTGCTTTTGTCCTTTCAGTGCACTCGGAGGCTCCTCAGCTCTTCATATCCCTGCTTTCCCAGGAGGAGGATGTCTCATTGATTATGTGCCTCAAGTTTGCCACCTGCTCACCAACAAGGTAAAAGCAAGTTCCTGGCCTGTGACTTGTAAGAGTCTCCTCCTTAATGGTTCATGCTCCTCTGTTGCCAGGTCCTAATGTCGTTCTCAGGGGAGAGGGTAAAAAGGCCCTATGTCAACAACCTGTTTAATAATGGGGGAAAAACTTACATACCCTCCCAGCACCCAAGCTGGATGACAGTTGACATTTCATGTTTGTCTCACATTGGCTAGGCACAGACAGGACCTTTGACAACTCCATGCAGACTCCAGGTTGGCTACTTTTGGTCTGGCAGGCCTTATCTTCCCACATATCCACCCTTTTTGATTTATTACATAGGGCACTCAGCAGGAGCCAGAGCTCTTTGCTCCGTCCTTGTTGACCCTTCCTTAAGAGGGCTCAGCAACTGGATTGTGCCTGTCTTAGGTTGGCCTGCCAAACAAACTCTTACCCATCTTTGACTACCAGCCCTCAAAGAGCATTCATTCCTGGAGAGCTGTCAGGGTGAGGGATACTAGGCAGTAGCCTTTTGAATTACAAATAACCAGGCCTGCACAACCTCCTGTGGAGGACTGCCAGACAGATGCCTAAGAGCCATTAACACTGAAAAGCTACCTTAGTTGCTGTCTACTGGTGTCAGGTCTGCTGCAGGAGACATTAAGGAGAATAAAGCTTAACAACAACATCTGTGCTCTCAGCCTCTGCTTGCCTCCTCTGAAGGACAGTTCATCTGTCCCTCATTGTCTTCCTCTTCCTTTCCCTTTTCTGAGGACCCAGCTCCCACTGCTTGTCTTATCTTCATCTCTTCCCTTCATTATGGTGACTTATGTCAACTCTAGAGGAATTTCCATATCCCCTGCATTTTTGTTGCATCTTGTACCTTCTTAGGGTTTTACATTTGTGAGCCCCCTTCTCCCCAGTCATCTGGTGTACACACACGTTGGATAATTCTTTAAAACAGCCTTCATTTCAGCTTTCTTATCTCAGCCATTAATTATCTGTCCTTCATTCTTGTCATGCCTAGGAGCAATTGACCAGAGTTTTTGCTCCTCTAGGGGCAAGAATTCCAGTCCGGCTGGTCTTCCACCATATTGGATTATCTGAAGTTTTCCCTTGGTTATATTCATGAGCACATAGCTGAGTTTACAGTAATGGTGGTCACCAACTATTTCCCAAAAGTGTGAGCATATACTTCTTAATATCCAGCCAATATATTTAGCTGAAAACTAGAGATATTAATGCAGTAGATATTAACCCTGCCTCTTTCCCATCCCATATGGACTATGACTCAGTTGGCTTAATTGCCAAAGTGTTGTTTTCTTTGCTCCTGTTGACTCATTCATATTGGCTGAGAAAACAGATCTTTTGTTTATCTCTCTCATTCAGAAGATAGTTCATTTCTCTATAGGACATATTTTTAAAGAACAATAATATTTCAGAGGCTTCAGTATCAATTTTTAAATGTCAGAGAAACTGAAATCTGGCAAGGCTACAGCATGTGGTACTGGCCCAGATTCCAAGGCACTTAGCTCCATGGAGTGGTGGCTTTTGCTGAGACAACACCCCCACCCCTGCCTCACTGTTCCCCTCCAAGCCAGAGTAGAGGGCAGGATTCTTATTTACATTCTGGGGCTTTGCACTGCCTTCAAATCTGTGTTCCGGAATTTTAGAGAAAAATGTAAATTGTGTCGTCCAGAACTGAGAAGCAAAGCTTTGTAAAACTCCCCAATTGAGATTAATTTCTAGTCATACATTTTCCTCAAAAAAAAAAAAAAAGAATATCGTTTTCTCAGAAATATAAGAATCAGTGTTTTTCTTATCTGGTTCCCTTTCATTAATTTTGCTTGTCTTTAAAATTAGTGTTCTTCTGTTCTAAACGAGGACACATGGGCTGCTTTTAGGAGCAGTCTCTTCAAATGAGTTTCCATAATTACATCGGAATCTATCTTTATAGCCAGTTTTGTTGTGGGTTTCTGTTAAAATGCTTTTCTGTTTTTAAAATCAAGTACACAGAACTGTTTTCATCCTTTTTTTAAACAAAGCCACTTAAGCAAACTTATCATCTGTTTTTCTTTTCTGAAAATAACATCTGATCTTGCATTAAGCCTGCAAAGTAAGCACTGTTTTTGTAAATTGACATAAACCGCTGTTATATAAATAGAATTGTTTTACTTTTCTAAGGTAGAGCCTGGCTATTGGGAACACTTGTGTTAAGGTTATGCTAAGTACCTTATCTTGAGTTCTCCTTAGCCATGGGAACGCGGTATGGCTAAAATCAATATAGAGGGTTTTGGTTTTTTGTTTTTGTTTTTTGCGGTGGGGTCTCTTTTTTTTTTTCAATCACAGTGAGACCATTAAAAAGAATGTGTTTTTATGGTAGAAGCTATTGTATAAATAACTTACTTTCAGCTACCTAGCATAATGAGTTAACATTTTTGTAGAAATTGCCATTTTTGTGCTAACAAGGATATACAAAAATGCAAAATAAAATCACCCATTGTAATATTTCTCATTCTGAATACTAAGATTTTTTTTAAAGAATTAGGTATTATCTTACCCTTTTAATTTTATCTTACCCTTTCAATCAGAATTCAAGAAAACCAAAAGCCCCTCTTGATGAAATCTTTGTAGAGAATGTCTGCTGACAATTATAAAAGGAATAATAGAACTTTCTTACATTACCATTTTTCAACCCCAAATGAAATAATTCAAAGAAGAATCTCCCAGTTGATGCTGAAGCCATTAAGTGAATAATTGATGGGGAGCCAAGTCTTCCCAAGCTTTGAAAGATACACTAGCAGATTGCTCACCCTGAGAAGTGGGGTGTGTGTCTGTGAGTGTATACTACATCATACACTCAGTATGGCAAAGGAGACATCCCTCTACAATGGAGTGACTTCCTCAAATGTTGAAGCCCAGTACTACCTAGAAAGATTTCTTGCCAAAAACCTTTAACCCGATCTAATTATACCTTTAACTCTAGCTTCTAATTATAGGAAAATACAGGCAATAAAGATAGCAGAAAACTGAGACAGTCTATAAGACAATTAACCCAATCTCTTTGAAAGGCAATGCCATTTATGCATGCTTGTGTGGACATACATGCACGCACACACACATGCACATATACACAATGTGTTTTTATTATGTGATTAAAAGATTTTAAAAATATGAAAAAATAACATATCCAATCCTGAATTATACACTGCTTTGAAAACAATGTTTTGGGGGCCCTGAAGAAAAACTCAACATGGACAAGGGTAGCAGATGACACCACAATGCTCCTTAAACCTGTTGGGTGTGACAACTGCATTTGTGACTTCCTATGAGAATGTCTGTTTCCTGCGGAGTTGCATACTAAATGAAGTATTTGGGGTGAACTGTCAGGATGTCTCCAATTTCCTTTGCAGTGTTTCAGCAAGATTGATGGATAGGTTGACAGACAGAGAAGTAGACAACTGGATATGGCACTAGGCAAAATACCCACCATTGTTGAGTACAGGGTGGGAATATGGGTGTTCATCCCCTGTTCCCTCGGCTGCTCGGAGTCTCTCAACTTTGCATAATAAAGCATTTTAAGCCTTGCTGTACTGATTTTCAGCTTTGGGTTCCCATTCCAGGTACAGTATGTGATTCAAGGATATCACAAAAGAAGAGAGTACATCGCTGCTTTTCTTAGTCACTTTGGCACGTAAGTTCTCCCTTGTTTACACTACACACCAACAGTGTACTTGCTTCTCTCGTGTGGGAATGTCGCACCTTCTCTGTGACATTCTGGCTTTGGTGCCTACCCTAGAGCTGCCAGGATAACTTAGCTTTTAGCATTCTTAAGCAAATAATAGAACCAAGTATGCCCTCTGAGCATCAGTATGCCTCTCCCAAACACGGCAATCAGGGTAGTGTCCCCTGAATACACCCATGGGTGTAAAGTCTGCTTCTTGTGGAACTTTGGGTAGCTTGTAGTGCACTTCATCTCCGTTGTCTTCTGGTTGTCTGGAGGTGACCAACAGGGCTCTTTCTTTTCTATGTATTTTAAAATTAGTTTGTCTTTTTTTAATTTAAAGATTTATTTATCTTTATTTTATGTGCATTGGTGTGAAGGTGTCAGATCCCCTGGAACTGGATTTTCAGACAGTTGTGAGCTGTCATGTGGGTGCTGGGAATTGAACTGGGTTCTCTGGAAGATCAGTCAGTGCTCTTAACCGCTGAGCCATTTCTCCAGCCCCTTAAAATTAGTTTTTAAGTTAACATATAAGTAATGGGTTTCATTATGGCATTTTCCATATACTCATTCCTCTACATTGTTCTTATTCCTCTTCTAAGTACCCTCCCCATACCCCCTGACTCTCGTTGTTTGCCCTTCTTCCTCCCAAATAGCCTCCCTTTTCGCTTTCTTACCACATGTATTCCATTACCTGTCCTTCCTCATCCTCTCCTCCCCTCTTGTGCTGCTCTTTCTCCTTTCATGACCTACGCACACATATTTGAAAGTAGATTCCATGGATGTGAGGAAACATGTGGTGTTTGTCTTTTCTGAGTCTGCTTTATTTCGCTTAGCATAATGATTTCCAGTTCTCTCCATTTTCCTATAAGCCCTGAAATTTCATTCTCCTTTATAGAGAAATGAAATTCCATTGTGTGTACCACATTTTGGTTGTGCACTCAGCTGATGGTGGGCATCGAGGGTGGTTCAGTCAGGCACATGTTATTGCGGGTAGCACTGAGACTTGGAAGTTTAGTGATTCAATGAAGTCCCACATCTAGAAGAGGGGCCAGACATTGTAGTTCCCCAGGATCCGGGTCTGCTGACAGGACTCTGTCACCAGCAGTGCCTCACAGATTCTGGAAGGAAACCTAACATCACCCCTGACAGTGACGAGTTATACCGCAGAGGAGTTAGAAGATGGCAGAGAGGCGGGTGGGAAGCGTAAGACTGCAAGGAAAGCATGGAGTGGCTCTTCCCACTGCTGCCCTGTGCGTCTGCCCTTCCCTCTGGATGCCAGAAGCGATGCTGTTTGCAGCTGTTTCTTCTCAGTGCTGTCAGGGGTCGTGTAAGCTTCCACCGGGGCTCAGCACAGTCGGGGCATCAGTGTGTTTTCTTCATAGCCTTTAAAGGTGGAGCACCCTGCCCAGTGTTTGGTCCTGGGGATTTCGGTCCTCTGCTTACTTATTTCAGAAATGACTAGGAAATGATAGAAATATATAAACAGAAACAAGATTTCAATTTCAAATAAGTAAATGAAGATAAAACCAAGAGAGCAAGTAAAAGCAAATGAAACTAAGAGTAAAGCTTTCACAGCATAACACAGTTATGAGCAGAACTCCGGCTGCTGGAAAACTGCCAGACAGTTCTCTCACCGACCGCTTGATGGTTTTTTTCTCTCCTAAATAGAAAAGTCAGTATCAAGCAACGTGGCTGTCTTTTACCTAAGTCTTTCATAATTAAAATTATTTTCTGTTTTATTGGTGACCATTTTGAGAGAGCATTTTTTATACAATAGTGGTAATAAACATTACTGATCTAAATTTTGAGTAGAATATCTTTAGCATATGTGATTGAAAATGAAGGAACTAGCACAATGATCTCAGAATGGGTTGTATACACCCCAAAGGTTACTACACACATCCTTTGGGGAGAAGAAAAAATGAAAAAGAATTTACATTTGCTTTTCAATGTCATTCTATTTTAATAAAAACTTTGCATATTTTATTATGCACAGCGTTTAATAATATAGTACTACCAGTATGTAGTTATTAAGTTACAAATGATTACCACTGAATTACCGAATTATATGCTTAGGCATAAAAGGCATTATATTTTGTTTTTGCCTGTGAGGTATGGAGGCTAAAAAGTTCAGACCCCATGGTTACAATATTGGGTTAATAGGATAAAAGGCCTGTGACATCATGCCCAGCTGACTGATTTCTTAGATTGTCTCTACTCATAACTGATGACTGATGCTTCCATTTTGTGGTTTATCCTCATTGTTTGTTTTGCAATTCTTTTAAAAAGTTTACTGATATCATAATTTTCTGCTGATGAGGAAGCTAAGTCTCCACAGGTTAAGAAATTTGAGTGAGGTCATGAGCTGTAGCAAATGACAAGGTTGTGACATGAACCTCAGTACTCTCGTTCCAAACCCTAGACCCATCTTGATGCATGCATGTCTTAAATCTGTCTGTAGTTCAGTCACCTTTTAAATAGTCTTAACTTACTTCTGTTGCTGTTGAATCTTATTTTTACGAGGGTTTGTGTGTGTTCTTACTTAGAGGTGTCGTGGAATATGATGCAGAAGGCTTCACAAAACTTACTCTGCTGCTGATGTGGAAAGACTTTTGTTTTCTTGTACACAGTGAGTATACTTTTGCTATGTGCATGCACTTAGGAATGTTCTCCTATAATAATCAGGGTGAGGACCTTCAGTGTTCCCACGTGGCCCTTTTTATTTTACCATGTGTTTATTTATATTGAGGTCTCAACAAGAAATTTTCTCCAAGAAACCAGTGTTTCTCAGCAGGAAGGGTGATGTTTCCCACATCTGATAATGTCTGAAAACATTTCTTGTCACAGTGGATGAGGGGATCTGTGATCAGCCAAACCTAATGTCCATCTGTCCCAGGACAGCACCTCACAACAGAAAACAATTGAGTACAGAATGTCACTATCGCCGAGATACAGTGACCCTACCCCAGACAGAGTACTATTTCGAAATATATGCCCACTGTCAGGTCTCTAAACTTCCAGGATCCCTGAGAGCCTCTTGCTTTCATCTTCTGGTCATTAGTGAGTGATAAAAAGTGGCAGAGAACATAAAGGAGGCAGTGCTCTGCACATCCCCAGCAGCCCTTGGTGGTTTTCCACAGTGGGGCTGTGTGTAAATGATTGTTGCATAATCAATCAGTATCATTTCTTTGCTGGAGAAGGGCCAGTGGCCTGTGCCATAAGGTTTAGGCTGCAAGTCAACTAAGCCCTTTATTTCGTGGCAGTTTGGTATATCATATTTCTGCTTAGTCAATGACCAAGGAGTTGCAGCTTTTCCAGCTTGAGGTAGGACAAAAAACAAAGGGGTTGAGCTGGCTTCATTCAGAGGCAGAATTTGCTTGTATCTCATTAAACAATATTAGGAAGTGATACTTTGGCCCTATATAGCCATGGTATCAGACAATGTACAGATACTGACCTTAGGGTTTTTTTTTTAAGTCCTTAACTGTCTGTAAGATGGAAAAAAAGCCTCCCCGTCGAACCTGTTGCTGACACACCTCACAGACACTGGAGAGCTGGCCATGCATTTGAGAAGGACTCTTCTTCCTTCTCAGTGTTACCTAGCCATCTCCATCTTGCATGGTGCTTCACATTGTGCTCCTGATTGGTAACTCATTCTACATTAGGACAATTTTTTCAAGTATTAAACCCGGGAGAAGCCATTTTGTATTAATTATGTGTGCAGATAAACAGAATTGGAAAGAACGAGCTCCAGCTTGGGAGTGCTTCCAACTACACCTTGTTCAGATCACTAGGCCAAGCTTCCTTCTGCTCTAGTTTCTTTGAATGTGCCTGGTGGATGGGAAATATCACCGTATGGAATTTAGCCCACAGTAAAAAATGCACTAGGAAAGGAAGCCTCAAAATTACTACTTTTCTTACCTGATGTCCAGATCGCAGTTGCTGCTTCAGTTGGTTTGGAAGCATTGCCTGATGGGATGACCGTAGCCTAGCTCATCCGTGGTGTCTAAACCTGACTCCGATGGTGGTAGTGATTCTTGTTAGATGACGCCAGAGTGGCTGAGAACAACCCAGTGATAGACTGGCTACCTCAACAGCTCCTTTATTTCCAAGTGTCCTAACAGTGCACACCTTTCTCCTGAAACTTACTTCTATTTCCTAGATTTTTTAGTTATTGTTAAATCGTATCAGACATAAAGGAAAAAATGCATTCTTAACACTCTTTAGTCCTAATATTTTCCTCAGCATGCAACTCAAAAATGGCATATAACAGTTCACTTTCTGTTGCTAGAACAGGATGTGCAAGGCTAGGTACTTTATAAAGAAGAGTGGTTTATAGAACTCATAGTTTTACAAGTTCAGAGTCTTAAGATTTACTCCAGGCTTTTGGCTGGGTCACAATATGGCGGTGGAATAGAAAAGGAACCTGCTGCATTCAGAAGGTCCGATGTAGTGTGTGGCTTAGCTTCATACCGATTCATTCCACAGTAATCCCTCCCAATCTGGAACCCTGGTGCTCTACCTGCTTTTCTGCAAGCCTGACCTCAAAGATTCTGCACACTGGGGACCCTAGAGGGACAGACCTTGTCAAGCCCTGCTAGTTACTAGGACATCATCCCTTGCAGTGATGTTCAATCTAAAAGAACACTTGCATCATGGTTCCTGCCAGCTCTTTGTCAGTACCCTCAGTGTCCAGAGTAATTGCTGCTGCTCTTAGATTTCCTGCAGAATCGCTTCTCCCTGCCATTGTATCTGGCATACACAGTGCATACTCCTTCTCCACCTATCTTAGCTTTCCTGAGTTGTACATTCAAAATTGTGTGCCTGCCAAGTTTTCACTTAGTTGTGAGCTGCCTTCTTCAGAAACAGACTCTGTGGAATGGCTGCCTTAAAACCTGGGGTTTCATTTGCTCTTTTCCAAAGCATTTCCCAAAATTGTCATTCCTTTCCTCCATGAGCTGTTCCTTGTACCTTTGTGTCATGCCTCACACACTGTTGGCTCTTCTGGCAGATAAGGACAGTCTGTAAGTGAAGGGCCTTGATGCTGCCCCTGCCCCATCCCTAATCACAGCCATAAGGACAGACTGTAGGTGAAGGCCCTGATGCTGCCCCTGCCCCATTCCTATCACAGCCTGCTTTTAGCACATCATTTGCATCCTTTACCTCTTACTCATCTAAGACGGAGGGCCTGCTGCAGCACAGTGGAGCTCAGTTAGATAATGTGTTTTCCTCAGTCATACGGTTGCGCATCTGACACTTACCTTCCTTTGGAAGCATCTGCTTGCTTGGTTACAACGCCCAGGGGACCATTTGTTCCTCTTTTTTCTTCTATAAAGATGGGGGGGTGAATGTAGGGTGGCAGGGACTTGACAAAGAACACTGCAGTGAATTATTCTGGGATCTCAACATATGAAAGAGCAGGAAGGAAGTGCCTCCACATGGAGCCAGTCTCCCGTGGGCGCCTCCACTCTTCACGGAGGTTGAAGACCTAGCAGGACACGAACTAGCACCTCTGCCCTACTCTCCATCCTTGCATTCTCCCAGCCTGACAAGCCAGTGTCATTGGGGCAGCTGCTAGTGCTAACTTGGGGATGCCAGAGGAAAGTCACCCCTCTCTTGTGCCAGATGGTGCTGACCTCAGACTGTTGTTGCAAGAGATGCTGTCCACATTCCTGGCTCTACAAGCAATGCTGCAGCACCCTGGTCTTCTTGTACTTCTGAGTATGGCTATGCAGCATCCCAGCTGCTCATTCCTTCCTCCCTTCATCTCAGTCATTATCTGGAGTCACATTACATCGGGAGAAACTGCTTCCTCCTTCCAGAAATTGTTAGGGATGTTTCCTGGCCGCTGTTTGGGAAGTACTTAGAGTGGTTGGACAGGTCCATCTGTGTCTGTCAGGTCATCCTTACCTCTGGAGGCAGCTGCTACCCACAAGCCAGCAGTTTGTCAGAATGCTGGTGGTGAGAAAGCCATATAGTAAGGTATGGCAATGACATAGAGTACGAGCAGCCCCGAAGAAGTGATCTCCCCTCCTTATGGGCCCCAGGCAGCAGCAAGCACCAGCATGTGACCCAATGGTAGCAGAGTCAAAATTTAGGGCCTAAAGGTAGAAGTGAGTGGAAGCCCTGACTGTGACAAGCTGTCTTTCCCTGCTGTCTGTAAACCCTTGTTGGTCTGGCCTAGACAGTGCTGGATCTCCCTAGGAAATGCCTGTCAGCCTGAACCTGTCCATTTTTCTCTTCTCTTTCTTCATTGTTTATAAGTTGCCTATGTTTGCATTTTCTCTTTGTTCAGTACTGTGGTAGGTATTCTTGGGATAGAAGTAAACAATTCAGGCTTGATCTTAGAGTGCGCATAGTAGTAAAGCATAGGAGGGAGGACACCATAGCCTACAGGTCACAGCCTGTTTCCATGTAGTACGTAAACCAAGAAAAGTACTTGTGTCTTTGCAAGGTTATTAGGAAGAAGAAAAAGAAAGAGAAGGGAATGAGGGTGCAATGGAGCTGGTGCCTGATCTACAAAGCCTAAAAGCTTTACCATCTGACCCTTTCAGAGAAAGTGTATCAGCCCCCAGTCCAGTTGATAAACTCAGGTAAAGATGAAGTACACCTGTATGCTGCTTTAAACACAGATTTCTGTGACTCGCCTGCTGTGTGTCAGTGATATAGAAAATAAAGTAACGCTTGTAAGGCTCATGTGAGTGCATACATTTCAAGTGGGTGCCAGTACTGTGGTGGCACAGAATTGAGTCTTCAGAAGCAGTCTTTCAGTGTGCTTAGAATGATCTCTCTTGGTGGTGACATGTCACCCAAGACATTAGTGGCCAGGATGGATCAAAGACTTTTACATAAATTCAGCCACACTGAACCTCATAGAAGAGAAAGTGGGAAGTAGCCTTGAACACATGGGCGCAGGAGACCACTTCCTAAATATAACGCCAGAAGCACAGACCCTGAGAGCAACAATTAATAAATGAGACCTTCTGAAACTGAGGACAAAGGACACCATCAATAAGACAAAACGACAGCCTACAGAATGGGAAAAGATCTTCACCAACCCTACACCAGACAGAGGATTGATCTCCAAAATATATAAAGAACTCAAGAAACTAGTAATTAAAATACCAAATAAGCCAATTAAAAATGGGATTCAGATCTCAAATGGCTTAAGAAAATGTTCAATATTCTTAGCTATCAGGGAAATGCAAATTAAAACAACTCTGAGATACCATCTTACTCCAGTCAGAATGGTTAAGATCAAAACACCAATGATAGCTTATGCTGGAGAGGATGTGGAGTAAGGGGAACACTCTTGCATTGCTGGTGGGAGTACAAACTTGTTCAACCACTCTGGAATTCAGTATGGCGGTTTCTCAGAAAATTGGGGATCTACCTACCTCAAGACACAGCAATACCACTCTTGGGTATATACCCAAAGGATACTCAATCATACTACAAGGACATTTTCTCAATTGTGTTAATAGCAGCATTATTTGTAATAGCCAAAGCCTATAAACAACCTAGATGCCCCTCAACCGAAGAATGGTTAGAGAAAACGTGGTACATTTACACAATTGAGTCCTACTCAGTGGTAAATAACAATGACATCTTAAAATTTGCATGCAAATG